ATTCTCAAAAATTCTTTTTGTTACCTTATATCAAATCAGGCGCACGAGAGTGATTACCAACTCATGTCGAAAGGAAAAATAATAATAGTTAAGTTAATGGTAAATTCTAAAATTAAGTGAAGATTATAACTTGATATCATATTAATGTCCATACATGCACACATGTCTATATACAGATATGTGTATGCCTCCCTCTTTATTTTGTCAGTAAATATGAGATACAACACTTGAAAAGGGAAGACTAACGCTTCAATACGCCCATTCAACTGGAAATAAGATACGTATATGAGTCATAAGGGTACTAAAATGAGACGCACCTATTAAGCCTGTTTATATTTCTAAAAATGTGCTTTCTCAATTAAAGTACTTTTTATACAGAGGAAAGTGTATGACAAATAGGATAAATAGAAATACTCATAAGAGAGATTAAACTATCATTAAGCAAAGAAACCTTTAGTGGAAGATCTTCGAATTATTACTACACAACATTGTTTTCCTTTATACTAGTCTACCGTAAATATTTTGTTCATTTTCATTATTTATAGTAGTATTCTAATACATCTGAAAAGAATAACATTTTCCCTTGAGTGGGTCAGAGAGCTATAAGCATAGTTCCAATCTGCCTAGTATTTACCCACTCTTTTCTACAAAATATAATAATATATACATGTCAACAAATACAAGCAAACGTAAATAATATACATATGCAAATAAAATATATGCATAGAACACTGAACATAAGAAACATATTATGATGTAACATAATATAATATTATCACCTCATGGATGGAATTGTTTTATGCCTTTGGGAGAAATTCTTCTTTAGACTAGACAACAAATAAAAATAATTCGCAAAAGAAATGAAAAATAAAGTTATGTTATACTGATCAATAATGACGATAACAAAATGCGGTTTATTACATGATGCACTCTGCGAGCAAAAAAAAACAGAAACAGTTAATGGGGAGAGGAAAATATGGATTTAATTACATAAAGGTCAAAGACCAAATAATTATAAGTCATGTAATCATGAAGAAAAATGAAATACATAAAAATGAAAAATAGGCATGCGAGACCAAAAGGGTTAATTAAATAATTAACACAAGCACTTTTCTTAAATGTTAATATAACTTTCAATATTAAATAGAAATTCTACCTCATGAGAACTGGTACCGTAGAAGTTAGCCGAAGTGCTCCTCACAAATTCATTTAATCGTTCGGCATCCTCAAAGTATTTCTTCCTTTTCAGGATCTTCGCCTTTATGAAAGCAAAAATTGATTGCGTGAGGAAAGCCTCTTCGATAGTCAAGAGACGCAGTGTGGTGTCATCCTTAAAGTTAAGATATACATTTTCGTAGTTTTGGAGATTGGTTTTCACCTCGTCCTGAGCGCCCCTGTCATCCGTGTTGACGGTCTCACAGACTTCCATGGCTATCAAATGGTTTTCATTGCCCCCAGTCTCATTTTCGGTCGCCTTGTCCTTAACCCCTTCATCTTCGTCCGAATTCAATTTGAGACGAACTCCTTGGAAGAAGTCCGAGGGGGAGTTAAGATCCCGATCGATGATAATGCTTGTCATATCGGTTTCGACCGAGCCAAGCCCTCTTGTAGACTTTTTGCACAAGCTTTCAAGCTTGACAACGTAATATGGCAAATCCTTCCGCAAGAAATGTAAGCTATGCCCAGGTACTATGGAAACGGACCTCTTGAAGAACCACGCTAGGTAAAAATAGGTATCTCGCTTCCCCGCAGACCGGATGCGGGCGAGGGATTCCCTCGAGACCTGGGTTTTCACCACAAGGCGAATCGGTGGATCTTCACGCACGTACGGCGAGAGCTTGCTATCAACATTAACCCGCCTGCCCTGGTAGAAGAAGGGCTGCGTGACGGTGCTCGTGGTGAAAATACTCGGCTTCACGTCTCTGGTGCTCTGCTTGCTGCAGCGCGTGTTGGTCTCGGTGGCCTGATAATGTAGGCCATTCTCCGAGGTGAGGTTCTCCGATAAAAACGGCGTGAAAGTGACCTTTGGCATGCGCGCTTTTAGATCCTTCGCGGCGTTGGTGTACTCGAGCCGATTGCTCAACTCCTGGAGATTGTACATCGCGGCCGACGCGAGATCAATGACGTTGGCATAGACCCTCCCTCTATGCTTCAGCTGTGACCTCCCTTCCAAGTGCTCCGCGAACTGTAGGCTGAGGATGCAATAATTGATGCATGCACATATCCAGTAGTGTTGGATGGTGGATTGAAATAGGCAGATGGTGGTCACGACTGTGCACAGCGCCACGCACTCTTCACCTTTATTCTCGTTCATGACCTTTTTGAAGGGGTTCACGGTGTTCGCAACCATCTCAGGCGACATGAATGACTTGCCGGCCTCCCTCGCCCAAATCGTAAGAAGATGGTTCAGATCGCGAGTCCCTCGGCAGATGGACATGCAGTAGCCAAGCGCAATACCGCCATTGACTCTATTAGGACTCAAAGATAGATAGGTATGCATGATATCCATGGAAAGACGAATATAGTCCAGGACATGATTTGCCCGCTCATCCAAAAACAACTCTAACGTTGTATCCTCAGTGCAGATTGTCTTGTTGACCTCCGAGTCATTTTCATTAACGTGCTTTACAATGGTGTCGACCACATTCATCCCCTTATGCAATTTTACCCAGAATTCCCGCCCAGGATGACTTTCTAACGCATTTTCAAAGTAAATTTCTGATGTGCAGTAGCGACCTTCATGAGCTGCCTTGACGCCCTCATAGAAAAAGGAGGGGTGGTGAAGCTTCTCCTTCGCCAATTTACCCGCCTTATTTCCCATCTTCCTTAAAGAAAAACTCTTAGATTAAGAAATTTTTTGGCGTTAACTTTAATAGAAAGTAGAATATGCTTTGATCTATTTTCAATAATCAATCTTTGTAGATGAGAACGACACCAATGTATAAAGAACCTGGGAGAATTAACTACAGTTATAGATTTGACATGGTAAAAAACACAACGTATGCACATATACTTTCCAACGACAACAATACCTCAGAAGAGCTTTCAGATACTCTCCATTTATCCCAAACAACTGGTCCGCGCATATAAACATCCTTAAGGAAATGAGCACAATAGGAGAGATGTGTAAGCCAATGTACTATGCGGACATCCTTTTTAATCCAATAATCCAATCTTGTCTCGAATTCCCGATGTGTAGGAAATGCTGCTCCCTTGCACAAAGTAATCGATTCACACACAAGCAACTAAACATACGAAGAATAATTTCTTTTGGGTCGCTCGCATTAAATTTTAACATAAAATTTTCATTCTATAGATAACATGATGATACATACTTTTTCGGCTTATCAAATTTTCTATTCTGAATATTTGCCTGCCCATAGATTTCATGCGTGGCGAAATTCTACACCTACCAGGTAGGGATTAAGAAGAGATCTTCCTATGAAAATGCTACCCTACATGAAGGATGATGAAGCGAATGGGATGGAATGGAAAGACACTTACGATATCAATAATAATAAAAAATACAGTATCACCTAATTCTATATGGATAAAAACAGGCAGATGCTAATTCAAGTCCTCGTTCATTGCATCTATCACCCTCGCAAGTCCCCATAAACGAACACACACTCACAAAAAAGAAAAAAAACGTTCCGCTTAGCAGTCATAATGTCTTCATAACCCCTCATAGATTCACGGGGAAAAAAAAGCAACTAAACAAACACATAGGAAAAAGGTAATGAGTTAAAATATTAAAGAGGGATACATATCATATGAAGATAGAGATATCTCACTCGGAAAAAGTAAAATTAGTGCCAAAACATAATAGTAGATGAATTCGATTTACGTACCTCATCGACGAGCACCTCAGATCCCTTGATGTAACTTTTCTCTACTCATTCAAAGTCCTGGTTATCACATCATAGCACACTCGCACTTAGATTTATGTTTTTTACGCTTGTCCACCACCGTACCCTGGTCTGGGTCGCCTGCCGCGCGCTCAGCGTTCGTCGCGGTGCCCTTTAATGGTGTATGTCTATCCCTGGTTGCTCGGCTAGTACCGGCCGCCTTCTCAATTTCATCGAAACGCCTCCGGATGTTCTCCCGAAACCTCGCCTCCGCGTCATCATCGGGGTTCTCGCCGAAGTTGGAGCGAAAGGTCCGCGTCTTGCTCATCATCCGATCGAGCTCCTCGTGATCGGGATCCCGGCTGGACAGGCGCCGCTCACCACCGAGGTTCGGCATCTCCGGCGTGAGGGCGTCCGAACGGGCAGCCGAGGGGCCGCTCCGCGCGGCCGGCGAGGAAAAAGTAGGGGGCGGCAGCGGCCCGTTCACATCCACGGCGCGCGTGCGGGGATCGCGGCGAGGGGGGGTGCCCGTGAGGTCCACTTCACCTCGAGCTGCTTTCGATGGCGGTCCCCCCGTCATCTCCGCCGCCGCCGCCTCCCGAGGGGAGAACTCCGCGTCCGCCCAACAGGCGCTCTCCGCCTGCTCCGCGGGCGATGGGGCCNCCGTCGCCGCGGCCACGGCGGCCCC